AACATCACTAATAACACTTTTGTGCAATCTAACAGCTTTTACTGTTATTACATTTCTTCAGCCTGACCTTTCTCTCTTCATAATATTTATTTCTGTGTCTCAGAACAGAGTAATTTAGGGTGGATTCCAAAGCAAAGTATGTCTCTTGTGTGATAAATATATTGACCATTTTAAAGTGGATAAACTAGCAGTAGTTTGCTATGACATGTTTTTTTCCCCAACTTTCGTCCCATATGATGCCTGCAAATATTATAATTTTTCTTGTGGTATGTTCCAAAGCTTAAGTGCCATCACATGTTACTCATACACTAAGCACAGGAATGGTTGGCTTTGTTGTGTCGGAGGTGACTTCTGTGTTTCACACTAATTGGCCCCTTTTCATCAGAACAGGAATGTCACACCAACCCTTGAAGTAGCTAAGATTTATTTCCCATTGAACAGTGTCTTTATTTTACTAAGTATCTCTGATCCAACTGGAAAAATCGGGGGGAAAGAAATGCTTTCAGTACTTTCCTTTTGCCAGGAATTGTGGTGTATTAATAATGATGTAATTTAATTATATAATAGCAGAAGTCCCATTCTTAGTTTTAATTGGAAAGGATATATATTGCCAATATTTATTGGAAATTTGTTTCATTTTATGAATGAATCTTCAATCAGTTGCAATTAGCATCTTGCGTAAAGCTACTTCTGTAATGCCCCCAGCTAGTGATCAGGATCTTAGTGCTGTTATAATTTACTGTTTGTCTTCACATGATTATCTTTCAGTTTTGCTATATAAATATTTTTTAGGCACCTTGACTCTTCTCTTGTTGCTCTGTATCAAAGACTTGACCATCAAACAACTGGAGGCTTTTTTAGAACAGCTGTGAGCTGCATTATTCCACATTAGCTGCCTTACTTTATCAAACTTTGATTGTCATATTTCCCCAAATATGGACAAAAATAGACACAGGAACAGAGATATATCCTTTCTTATGTCACATTAAGCATGTCTCATTTTGAATATTCATATGCTCTATGTTATGTTGCAGACTAACAAAGAGATGGTGAAGATCTTAGTTAAGAATATTCTTTCAAAATTTTCAGCTGCAAATTTATCTTTAGCCACTTGGAAAGCTCTGAAACAGGAACAGTAGGATTCAGGTGTGACTATGCTGAATAAGCAAGTAGTCCTTTAGTGGACAGCTAGAGTTTGTGCTTCTGCTGGTTTAAAATGCTTGCTATGCAGATTAAATAAAACTTTGACAATGACAATTTTTAGGAGGCACTTGGAGATCTGACTGGGGTTTGTTGTGTCTTATAACCTATTTGATTGTGAAACTGATGTACATTTTGTGGTAGAGCAAAACAGCTCATAGTGCAATAATTTTGAGATTTAGGTACATGAGGCTGTGGCAGGTATTAGAATAAATTGTGACTTCCTAGTACAAGGTTTAGTATAGGGATATGGGGACTTGAATAGGGATTTAGAGGGGGTGCCACTTTCTTTTTTTCTTTCCAGATTCCGTTTTATGCAATCTAAAGCTTTATGTGAGATAAGGCATCTGTGCAGCTCCTTCTCCAGCTGAAATGATTTAGAAAACTTTCAGTTTTATTAAATTAAATTTTAAATTATTTTGTCGCGCCTCTGAAACATTCGCCAAAATAAAAATATATTCACTGGATTTAAGGGACTAAAATAAATTCTCTACGGGTAGAAAGAGACTGTTAAATTAAGTGTCTGTAGCCCAAGGAGGTGAACTCCACTAGAGGGCAGTTCAGAGCAAGAGTGTGATCAGTTGCCTTGTTTCCTCTTCAGAGAGCATTGCTGTAATGCCTATTCTTTCTATATTCAACAGGGATTATCTTTTTAGCCTAAAGGATTTTCCGTTGTATCCAAACTTGGTAAGCCATAAACTACATTATACTAAACAGGAACCTCTGTTTAGGGTTAAGCGTGTGTAACTGCAAATCTATGCTTTTGCACACTGAGTTCAAGTGTGGGAGAATGTAGGGTATTTGTCCAAACATAAACTTCAGGTGGCATTTTTATATCTTTGAGAAGTAGAATTATATATTTTTATGTATATATACATGCATATATATGTGTGCATATATATATGTTTGGGTATATATTACAGTTATGCTGAGATCCATGCACCAGACTGAAAATTTCTGAATGGAATTTTGCGCTCTCCTTCAAACTTATTTGTATTCATAGTTATTTCTAGAATATCTGCCCTGGGTTGCTCCATTGACCTGTGTAGTTTATTAGAATAATAGTGTTCAGCCTTTGATTTTTGTCTGGATAATGAGACCTTTCAGTTTTAGAAACAGCTATATGTCCCTTAACTCTTACAGTTAGATGACTGCCTCTTCTTTCAGGCATTCTATATGTCCATAGCTCCTGGGGCAAAGCATTTCAATGACAACAGATTTTGTCCTCACACTAGCTTTGTCAGTTCATGATTCAGACCAAAAGGAGAATGATGTGTTTTTTCTTTTTAATCTGTTATGACCTATGAAAACTAACTAAACATTCCTTAAACCCTCTAACTTTAACCAGAAAGCCATTAAATAACAGCTTTTATTTTGAAACCAGGCTGTTATAATGTGTGAAAAGGACTTAAAAAGATGTATTTCTAAAATACCACTAGAAAAATGCATGACTTCTTGCCTGTCACCTTTCATGAATATAGTGTTTGAGGAATGGGAAGAACATTGCAAAGTATTTTATAGTTGTTCTGTCTACATACTAAATGCTTAATTTTCAGATGTTTTCTATTTATGAAAACATTTGTGTGAGCAGATGTGTTGAGATGCCTTTTGTTTGTTAATAATTGAGGCCAGTACGTAATTTCTCACTTACTTCAATATGCTTTTCACTATTCAATTAAAGTTGTTTTGAGTATTTTTTTATTGAGCAAGGATTTGTTTTTGAAGTGGCCCCACACATTTAAATGGTTTTAATGTTGCAGTTCATTCCAATGAGATAATGGTATATACATAGTTAGAGCCCTTCAGAACATTTTTGGGTATTTTATTTGCTAGTCCTGTTATGCTTGAAAAATGGAAACTCTTATTTTCTGTAAAGTTAAATGTGTAAATATGAAAGGAAGTGTCACTAGTTGCTCTTTAGGGTCTTGCAGTCAGCTGTTGTCAGAGACATGATGTTAAATAAAACTAGATAAACTGGTAGGCTTTTTCTTCTCCCTTGTGAGTGGTGAAGTCAATAAGATATAGATTTGACTAAGAAAAATGTTGAACCCTTTCTTCTGAAATATTTGTTTTGAGGCTATGTTGACAAAGTCAACGTGTTAGCTCCAGTATCTTGATACTCCCTGTGACACTGACTCTAGGAGTTGAGTTCCTTCTCAGCTTTGCACAGTGTGGATCTGATGTCTCCAGAAAAATGTCAGGTAATTAAGATAGTTTGTGGTATAAATGGGAAATTTAGTATGGCTAGCAGATATTGTTTTGCTTGGTGTGATTTACTAAATATTGATTGCAGTAACAAAGTGCTTTAACTCTAGTTTGAGGTGATCATTACTATCTCTTCCTATACATTAGAAGTCATTTATGAATTTTGTACATAACAGTATTGGTCCAAGTGGAGGAACGGAGGAAGATTCCCCCAAGGACTTTATTGTGTGCTATAATCCACAAAAACAGTGTTTAGACTTTCACATTTACCAAACAGATTGTCTGTATATAGAGAAGATTATTCTGGAAGAACAACTAAAAGGATTTTAGGAGATTCAGGAAGTTTTATCTTGCAGTATATATTTATATATTTTAATGCTGTCCTAACAGCTAAGAGTAATACAGAAACATTGCCTTAAAAGCGCCAGCCAAACTAGGAATCCTCTGTGTGACAAATAACTCCTAACTGTTTGTTCTTGTAATTAGGGTATTTCTCCTAGAGATATCTGAAAAGGGAAAAGGAAGCATGTGAATAGCTTTTGAATTTGCTGCCTCTTTGAGGAGGAGGACTCTTAAATCTGATTAAGGGCTTTGGTTTTTATTAGCTCTAATATTAGCAATCAAATATGTTACACCTTTCCTGTTGATTTCTCCCCTCTGTGTTGGTGGTCACTGATTCCATAAAAGAAAACCAGACTTGGCTCTTTGACCACTTAAGGACATTACATTGTACAGCCCCAGTACACTAACTGCCTCCAGTTTCAATCCTGAATTATTACATTATACTGTGATTGACAGGCAGTAATCCCTGACAGGGGAGTAGAATTGATATCTGGATTTGTAACCTCTTCAGCTGATCATGCAAGACCTCCTTAACTGGAAGATTTTTGTGATGATTGTTGGAAGAACATGAGTTAAAGCAGAGAAAGTCAAGAGAGCATTGTTCTGGCTGCAGCTGTTAATTCTATAGCTGAACAAAACTGTAGTTATGTAGTTCCATAAAAGATTTTTGTAACTTGCATTTCATTATTGCTAAGTCTTGGCAAACAGATTGTATGTTCTTGCTAAAGGGCCAGCCTTGCCCGCTGTTGTAAACTGATTTATTTTGAAGGTAGCTCTTCAGATGTGGAATAAATTAATGTGTCCAAACCATAATGTCATGATTTTAATATCATTTGTGGTACTCAAGATATCTTAATGACAGACTGGAGGTATAACGCAGGCAACATGGGCCCTGTTGGACAGCAGTTGGAGGCCTGTAGAGATACCATAAAGCCTTTGAAATGACATCTGAATCCCACCTCATCTGACCCAGCAAATTAAAAAAGGAATTCTATCCAAAGTGAACAAAACATAACAGGGACAGGATTCTGTCTAGAATTAAGATCAAACACATCATCAACCCGCACAGGAGAAATCCAACAGTTTACTCTTAAAAATGTGCAGGAATAAATAGAGTACAATAGCATTCATTGGTTGCATAATCTGGACAACTTGTGAATAAAAGCTGATGAGAAATACTAGTTTGTTCGGTTTTGTACTAAAATAATATGTTTGTTGGACTTGACAAAATTATTAATTGTTCTCTGTTTTAGGTTATGGTCAGAGTGGTCCAATGGTTCAGAGAGGTGGATATGACTCCATTGCAGCTGCTGTTTCTGGTCTCATGCATATCACAGGGCATGAGGTATGGTACTCAACTTAAAGATTTAATAGAATCTTTGTGCCATATACTAAAACTTAGTGCTGCACATCTGTTACACGTGCCCTTGTGAGTCCAGCAAGACATCTTATCTTTGGTAATCTAACAAAGTGATAGTGCTTATGTCCTTCAGGTATCTCACTTCAGGCTCCCAAAGCCAATGCCCAAGAAACAGAAAATGGGAGAAAAAGGGTATCATAATCTCCAATGAATAAATTGACAATTTATGCTAGCCTGTTAAGGGCTGCTTGTAGCCACTTCAAGAGCTGCAATAGAAACATCGTTGACACCTGGATGATGGAACCATATGTATGTGTGGGAAGTCTCACCCATGCTTTGATATAATATTCCCTCTTTTTTTAAAGAGGGAATTGTGAAGCTATCCGGGTAGCTGACAAACTGTCTTTTTAATCATCCTGCCTGAAAATAAGCAGGGAGATGCCATTAGTTGTTCTGGAAAAGCTTTATGTGCTGCTATTCCTACCAATATCCAAAATCTTTGGTAGTTGCCGTACTGCAGGAAGAATTGCAGAGGTTTCTGGATTCCAAGGATACACAGAATGTATGTCTTCACTTCAGAAAAATGCTGGTCAAATAGGCATTTACTTAAGCTGTCTTGAATCACCTACAGATGCAGGGAATGTGGTCTCCAAACATCAGTTCTCAAGTGAGATGGTGTTACAAGTCTGTTCTATGCATCGTAAACACTAGATAGTCTTCTGTGGTGGTGCTCCTGATGCTCTGTGAGCAGTAGTGCAGATCTTTAGAGTATGACACTTGCATGCCCTAGATAAACAAGGAGTTCATCAAGTTTCTGTACTTAGTGTCAGATATTCATATTTGAGTAGGTTGTTGAAAGTGAACTGTGCATGATCTGGACATAACTCTACTGTGGGATTGATATTCTGCCAGTAAACTTGTTTTCTGCTGAGAACAATGGAAGAGATCAGATCTCTCTGCTTGTGGCAGTTATTGTTACCAGAGTACTTTCTATTAAAAAAAAAAAAGCCAGACATTGTTTGACTGAGGAAGCTGAAACATCTTGTGCCTCGTGTCCTAAGACTGACAGCCCGTTGTTGCCATGTTCATGATACATACTCCTAGGATGTACCATCTTAGAACATGAGAAGACATGAAGTTGGGTGCAGTCTCACAGGTACTTACTTCTCTTTGACTCTTATAACACACATATACAATAAACAGTCACAGCAGTAACTGTGGTGTAAGTCATTTTAACATTCTGACCATGGTGTCTGTAGAGTGAAGGCTAGTACTTCCAATACAATGCCAGAAACTTCATGCACACCTCAAAACACACCAGACAAAATTAAATGGGAGTATAAACTGTTAGAAAGTGGCAAATGTTAGTAGCGCATGAATAAAGGAAAGTATGTTGAAAAATTAAAAACAAAACCAAAACCCAAATGGGACTCTTGGAGCTTTTTAATGCTATGTGAATGACAGAAAATACAAGTGTTATACTGAATAGTTGTATGTAAGTTGTATTATGAGAGTAATAGTCCTCAGTGGCTGTTATGAGGAAGGATTTTATTAAAAGATTGGGTTAAGATCTGCACTGGAAATCCAGATGTTTGCATCACCTCAGCAGGTCTTGAGGCAATGTTATCACAGGAATCGTGTAATCCTTTTTAGTAACAGTTATGTCTATTCACTGGGGGCTTTTAACAGTTCATTCAAACTTAGTCATTCTCTTGCATGATTAAAATAAACATGCTAAAACTTGCTTCTTATTTTTCTTTATTTGAAGTTGGTCGTATATTTCGTCAGTTTCTCAAAACCATTTTCTGATGAATAGAGGGACAGTTTTGTTTCAAAGACTTAAGAGGTCAATGACTCCAAAGAAGCAAATGTGCCTTTTGTTGTTCTAGTGAAAATTTACTCATGTGGCTTTAAAATCCTATTGTATCCTTGCTTGAAAGTTACTTTAAAATATCAATTTATTATTAATAGTAAAATCTTCTATGTTCTTAATTTATGTTCATGTGAATGGGTTCTGTTTAAAAATTCCACAAAATCAGCTCTGAAATAAGTAGAAAACCTTGTTTCAGTCAGCATGGAAAGTGGCCAAAGTAAAGGAGAAAAAAGTATTACTTGCTTTTTCATGCTGTTTTTCTTAAGTCCTGAATTATTTGCTGACCAGATAACATGCAATTCATATACTGAAAGTAACATGATCATTTGAAGCATACCCTAGTAAACTCGAGTGTTTTTTTTTTCTTAAACAAGATTGATAATGCCAGTATTATATACTGGAAAAAAAGTTATAACAGATGATTTTGGTTTTGTATTGCATTGTGGTAACTATAGATAATCAGTATAACAGTGCTCTGTGGAAACTTCCCTTCAGTAAACAAGCCATTAATGTGCTTGCAGGATGGTGTTAGAGGTATTAGCTGATGCAGTAGATGGATCATAATGAATTTGGGCAGCAGCAACAAAACATTTACGTACATCACTGAGGTGCTTAATTTTGAGGTATGTCAATACATATTTAGAGCTCCTCACAAAGCATTTTGATAATAGGATATTAAAATTATGTACCATATCTGACACTTTTAAAATGGGTAGAACTGATAGGAATATATATTCCATTTTAGCTTAGAAAAATTTCATGTTGTGAATTCTAGTTTGTTCCAACCATCTGGTTACTGATTTAATGGCTCAGAAAGTAGTTTACTGTTGCTGATCAAGTAACTTCATTGGGTACTGAGGCCATGTCTCCAGTCAGTAAAGTCTTAATATTAAGCTATGAAATCAATATATTACCAGCACAGGATTTTGAGCAAAACTTAAACCTTCATTAAGTCTGTCACATATGTAACATTAATTTTCTTTAGTACTTTATATTTCATGTAACATGATAATATTTGAAGCAGTAAAGAGAACACAGTGGAAGAAAATGAAGTTTCTGACTGTGTATTTTATCTAAGTTATATTTTTATTAAGGAGATAAAGTTAGTGGAATACAAATGTGGAATACACCAAGGATACACAATGTCACATTTGGCATACAGTATAAACCTCTTGAAAAGGAGACAAGATCATATGCTTTATACATCTGAGTTTTAAGATCTGAGACACAATTCCTGAATGGCTTGCATTTTTTTTCGCTAGGAGATAGTTGTTGGTACTGAAATGACTTAATTCTGATTACTTTGAAATGCCTCTGAGCGAAGTTCTGTACCTTGAAGTCAAGCTTTAACTTCTTCAGTATTGCAAAGTTACAGGCACAAACAACTGTATTTGTACCAGTGTTGTTTTTGCTGATTGTACAAAACCAAACACATTCAGTGTACAGTAGAATGCTATGTTTAAACCATGTTTTCATGTGCAGAAACCTGCATGGAGTTCAAGCTTTTACACATGTAGTTGATTACCTCTGTATTAGAAATGTATGACACCTGTGAACTTTGAAATTCTAGTGTGTTTCTGAAAATTTACAAGCAATAGTGGGGAATCTGTTTTGTTGAAATCTGTACCACAAACCCATTTTGAATGAAAGTGGTTACTTCAGGCCACATTCAGCTTTTCTTGACATAAATTAAAATATGCTAAAAGGACAAAGTTTACACTGATGACACTTTTATTGTCCTGGATGATGTAATTTATAGATATTTCCTGGTTAAACACCACATTCGAGTTTTGTATTTGAACAGAAAGCTTTTACTTAATATACTCAGATACATCGCTGCCAGATGAATATCCCTTTGATGAAAATTTCTATGACTCATTAAGGCAATAACTTGAAGTTAATTAATAAAAACCAATTTGGATACAAATATCCTTTGAAGTTGATTATTACACATAATTTTCAATATTCTCTGTCTTTATGGTGGTGCAGTCTTTCTGGCTGAAGAAACTTTTTTGTTTTACTGAACACAAGACATCAAGACATGATTGGGATCTACAGTCCCACAGCAGCCATTCTTCATCTTAAAACCAAACAAACTGCAATGAAAGAGTACACATGGTGTATAGCTCAGACCTGTTGAAAAATATAGCCATTGCTGGTCATATTAGCTTCAGCAGCTATTTCCCATCTGTAAAGACGAGTGGACTTAGAATACTTTCAGGAAGCATGTAACTTCAGAACAATTTCCATTTTTTATTGAATCACTTTTATAATACTGATGTAAGATTGGGAAGAGAAATTATTTTAAAGGGCAAAAAACCCCAGAAGACTCAGGAAAGGAAGCTTCCAAAACATATTGTGACTATCTCTGGGCCAGAGTGTGTGGACAAATTGTAAGGAATTTAGTAAACAGCAAAATTTAGGAATAAAAGTGCAAACTTGTGTTAAGATTGAGGAATAGCAAAATGCAGTGATGGAAGAAAAGATCTACTCTCCTGGAGTGAATCTTCATCCTTTCAAATGAGCAAAGGGCATGTCCTGGTGCTGCCCCTAATTGGGGTTTAACCGAGCCCTTGAGCCTGAATGGCAGCTTTGTTTGCTTAAAGCACTTTCTCCCTGGCTAGGGCTACATTTTGTCCTTCGACCAGAACAGTAATACCTCTTTTGGCTGCTGGTGGTGTTTACTTTTAAAATAATTTACTTAAATAAAAGATACTGTATAGATCCTTACTTTGCTCAGGGAACTGGTATAATGTTAGCGACACAAAGGTACTGCTGTGCTGTCAGAAGCTCTGTCTAAAGGAAGGTATTTCTGTGTGTAGCTTTATCCTTCATATAAAGCAGCTTCATATCCCTTGTTCTGCAGGACAGAGATGAAAAGCTGAATGAATCCATTTCACAGGAGTTGCAGCTGTGCATCCTGTCACAGAAAGGCTGGCTTATGGCACAGGTGGACATTAAAAGCTGGTTTAAGGGTGAAAAACGGCAGCTCCTCATGGATCTTGATAGAAAGATCAAGGAAGAGTAGAAATTATGTGGACTGCTGCAGAATTATAGGATGTGGAGTGTTAGGAGGAAATAAAGCCAATGTTTTTTTTTTTTTTAAAAAAAAAAAACAACAAAACAAAAAAACACCAAACCCAAACAAACAAAAAAACCAAAAAAAAAACCCCAACCCCCTTCCACCCAAAAAAAAAAAAAACCCAACCCAAACTGTAGCAGTGTGGTGCTAGTACTCTGTAGAAGTGTTCTGGAGGGGTAAATTGTGAATGTATTCTTAGAAATAAAGGTGAACTTTTTACTGAGGTGAAGGAAGTATTTGCTTTAAAATGTTAGTTAGTTTAGTACTTGATGAGGAAAGTGTGGAATCAAGGCTGGAGAAGACAAATTCATATGTAACAATCTATTAAAATAGTCCTGATTTTTATATCCTCAAAACATAGTTTTCTCTGTCAAGGGTGAAACTAATGACACTTTGAAAACAGTGGGAAACGTTTTCAAACTATGAATGTTGCTGCACATCTGTTTGTAAATTCTTAAGTCTTTTTGATGATTTCTCATCCCAGTGTCTTGGCTGTAATGAAGAAAGAAAAATTGAACAAACTGAGAACTTGCAGCAGATAATATGGAGGAAATGCTGCTATTTTTCATTGATATTTCTCAGCAATAGCTCTGAGGAGCAAAAACCTCATGAGCTAGTTTTCTCAGTAGGCCTGCATGTATAAAAATAGAGATTTTCCTTTCCTGTTTTCCCCCAGAGTTGAGTACAGAGTGAGTGGTGAATGGATGGGACCTTTGAGTTGTCCTTTCTATTGGGAAGCTGAAGTAGCTTAGAGTGTGGAGAAGGAAGAAATAAGAGATTCTTCAAAAAAAGTACTTCCTTCTACTTCAAAAAAAAGTAAAGCAGAATTCACCTGAAGGATGTGTAGTTTATGCAGTTTGAATGACAGTGAGATTTTAAAAAAATATTGTTTAATACAGATATTTTAGTTTTATTTAGTCACTTCTATTATATAAATAAATTAGCAGATTTTTCCATGTTACATAGAAAATATTGTACTATGGTCTTTTATCCCAGAATTGACCTATTAATACAACTGATAATACAATGTGATATTCTTTTTCTTAAAATATTTTTTAGTTTATATATGGTTTGATATCAGACTTAGGTAAATCCTGTTGGAGTGCAAAAGAAAAACATGGTGAAGATAAGTTTTAAATTTTTTTATGTGAAGCCAAGACACTGAGTTTTTTTTATAATTATCAGTAAACATAACTCCTTTGCAATCTTACAGTGTGATTATGCTTAGTAATTAAGATGTTGCTAATTATAGTAATTCTGTAAATTTGATTTTATTGAATTTATATTAGATTAGTTTAAAGGCATTTATGGGTACTTTAACAAACAGTTATTAATTATCAATTATAATAATTTTAAGTTGGTTTATGATAGGCTTACTCAGGTGCTAAAACTCTGAAACAGTCCCATTAGCTTTGTAATGCTATTTGTGGGCTGTACTTGAGGGCGAGCTGTTGCTGTCAGAATCTGGGCATCTGACCTCAAACTTTTCAGAGTAGGAAATGGGAGAATGTCTCAGAAGCAGCACTTTTAGACTTCTATGGTAAAAGCCTACCTTCACTGAAATAAGTTCATTTGCCATTGATTGTGGAGGGGCCGTGTTTTGTGCCAACAATTAGGAAAGATCTGGAACACATGATGTAAAATGGAGATTCTCCCTTGATGCCAGAAAAAGGGATGACATACGGTAAAAGGACATTTGAACCAAGAAGTTTCCAATGGTTATTGGTCAGGAGATGAAGAGTGTGCATGTGTTTACATGTGTAGTGTGCGCGTGTGTGTTTACAAAACAAAGTTGTTTTCCCTCTAGAAGCCTGGAGTGTGTATACTTGAAAATACAAAACTGAGATTTGGCCAAGGGAGGGCCAGAAAAGGAGAGAGAAAAAGAGTGAGAAGAGCAAAGCAATATAGTTTTGCCTTTCAAACACACATGCACCCAGATTAGCATACTGTGGAAATCCTTTAGACCTTTGGCTTCTAGGCATAATGAAATACAGTTTTCACTGGATTCTTTTGTGTCTAACAGATTCTCCTCTTTTTGCATTGATGAGTTGAAGCGTTATGTTACTAGGGCAAAAAGTAGCATAATAAATCATTCACAATTTGTAGTCTGCAGCATCGTGAAGTTACAATGTTGTGTAGATACTGCAAGAATATCTGTTTTTCAGTGGTAATTTTTTTTACTTCAGTTCACTCAAAGGTACTCTTATTTCTTGCAGTTTGCAATGCAGAAACACCTAAGCACTTTTTCAGATGAGTCTTGTGTAGAATGTGCTATAACAACAAGTAATGTTTTGCCTCTGCTTGTTTTCATCTCTTTTTTTTTTCTTGTTTGGTTTTTCATGGTTTGTTTTGATATGTTTTCTTTTTTTTTTTTTTTTTTTTTTAGGATGGTGAGCCAGTTAGACCAGGAGTAGCCATGACAGATCTTGCTACTGGGTTGTTTACATATGGAGCGATTATGGCTGGTTTACTTCAGAGGTATAAGACTGGGAAAGGGCTGCACATTGACTGCAATCTCTTGTCATCTCAGGTAGGAGTTTTAAAAAATTGCTTTTAGTTGTGTAGATATTTGAACTTAAGAATACAGTTTTGACTGAAATTAATGCAAGTTATTTAGTAATACTAATGACAACAATAACAATGACAATAATGGCATTAGTGACATTTTCTTTTTTCTGCCAGTCTGGTAGTGACCTTTTTATATGACATGGTTATAGTTACTACTGCATTATGTTTGGCTTTCACTTTTTACAAAGCACCTCCATGTTCTTTGAAAACAGAAAACAGGGTTAATCAAGGTTTAAAATATCCCAGAGATTCTAAGTTACAGTTGTGGTAGATAATTTGAGGTAGACAAGCGTAAATGGTGAATCCACTGTTGGAAGGGAGGCCTTGGCACTGGGTAATATTAATACCAGAGTGACTGAATGACTTGTGCAAAATCACCCAGAGTAATCAAGTATCACCCAAGTGTCAAAATAATGTAATCCAGGAGGTCTGCCTTTTGGCTCTGAGAATTAAAGAATAAACTAAGCTTAAAGATGCAGCATTTTATCTAGGCACATTGAAGAAAAATCTCATCAAAATTGTGAAGACAAAGATGTTTTGATCATAAAAGGTATACCATATACCACGAATAACGAGAACTTTAAATTGTTTTCGAATCTTTACTCACCATTGTGCAATGATTTATAATTCACAAGAAGAAGGCGATGTTGGTATGAGCTGCGTATGATCAGATGATACATTGTCTTGCTGATGTATAGATACCTGCTGGTAGCAATGGGGTATATGGTGCATAGGAATTTATGTGTATGTTTTAAAATGTGCATCAAAACTGTATGCTGTACTAATCAAATGTAGTGCTCTTTTATTTTTGTCTTTATTAAATTGTATTTTTCTTGATGTCATACCTGTCAGTACATTTGAGAGATGGTAGAGTGCCTGTTGTGCAAAAAGGTGGCCCTGATGTGAGCAGGAGGTTGGACAAGATGACCTCCAAAGGTTCCTTCCCACTTATATCATTGAATGATAATAATGGTTGAGAGTAATGATTGAGGTTGCTCTTGTTTTAATACCTACTGCTCTGGTTTAAATACCTACTGAAATCAGATCTGGAAAACAGGGGAAGCCCTTGCTTAAATCAACAAAGAATTTTTCATTGGTTTCAGAAATGTTTGTAAGGACTGAACTCTTCATCATACTTATGTATATTTGTAAACGTTGTGGCTATATTTGAAAAAAATGTAATAAACAGTTTAGAAAAATGTATGTTAAACTCTTACTAAATATTTTGTATATATATGGAAGTATTTTTTTGTACGTGTCTTTTTTTATATTATGGCAGCTTTTCCTAGATCTTTTTTGTTTCTAATTTTATCAAAAGGACTTCTGGTAACTTCTATTAATTTCCAGAGTAATTCTGTTAGTTTTTGATTCTTTGTTCCCCTTTTTTTGGCTTTTTAAAATGGAACCTTCTTGGTTATTATATGATATTTATCAAATGCTGATAGTAAGAAGAGTTGCAGTTAGATGTTGTAACTCCTTTTATTTCACCTTTATCACCTCATTTGTCTTTAGACTCTTTCCTTGGTTAGGATAGTTTTGGCTATGCACAAAAGTGTTCTTGTATTGCAAAATTTCCGTCTGAAGTTCCACATCATCATCATCCTTTAGGCCAGTCACTGGCATGAACAGGGAATGGAGGCACGGGTAGATGTCAGTAAACAAAGCATGATCTGGTGTTTGACTTCTATGTGCTTAGCTGAAGAAGTACTAAATGGTGAACAGTTTAGTGACTTCTTTTAAACTTTAATTTGTTCCCTGCTTGTTAACAAATTATAGTTATCTAGAAGTTGCTAATTCCATACATGCACAATGTATGTCTTAGTGCAAAATATGTGGTTTTAAGTACTTCCATGTTGGGTAAATTAAACTGAAGTAAGTTGGTATTTTGGAATAGACTATGGGTATAAGCTGTTATTCAGAAGACAGCTATTACGTTGTAGACAACCTTATTACTTCAGTACAAATTAACTTTAGGGTGTTGGCCCAAGTGTAATGAGAACATTTATTAAATTGGAAAGAATATTTATGGATGAGATGCTGGGGTACCAAAAATAAACCCATGTGATTAATCCCATTTTAAAAATGTGTTAAAATGAATGAAGAAAAATGTAACTGATGGCTGAGTCTCTCTGAGAATGTCTAGTTTCCCGCTTTATTTTCTTCTTGCAAAACTGGTAGTTACTTGTAAGACTTCAAGGGTGAGTGTACTAAGAACAAGTAGTACAAAGCTAAAAATGAATGTAGAAAAAGAAATTGCTAAATTGCTCTTGCAGTACTTCTGGTGGTAAAGTTGTTTTTTGAAGAGAAATCAGACAATTACTGTGATACGATCAGGTTCTTCAGAGATCTGCGCTTTCAAAGAGATGGTTTTACATATCGGAGATATCTAAAGCTAGCTCTTCATGTGTGATGAATGCTGAAAAAATGACCTTTTGAAGTCTCATGGATGTTGTTGAAACAATTAGGTACCTAAAACTGTAAACTTCCAGTTTGTTACATTCTTGTTGCAGTTGGTTAATGCAGGGATCTAAAGGTCAAACAGATGCATCATGATAACTTTTCCTTCAGTGTGAGTTTCACTGGAGTGTAGTAATTTTTAATGAGAAAAAAGGTATCTTTCTCTGTGTAAAACACAAGTGCTACTGAACCATCGTCCTAATAGTGTTATGACAGCAGGGACCTGTATGAAACTTTTGACAGTATTTCATGCACTGAGTTAATATAGCGGCATGCTTACACCTTTTGTTCATCCCTTCATCTGCACTGAGAATTGTGAAGCTGGCTTATGTGTGTCTTCATTGGAGAGTGTTGATGACTTCTATGTCAGAAAGGAAGAAAACCCAGCACTGAAATAATTAGAAATCCCTGAACTCTGCTTGGTTTATTTTATAGGAAAAACCCTAGCATGTACATGTTCATCTATGTCTGTGCTGTGTGCTGTCACTGTGCTGCATGACTTCTAGAAATGCAAGAGGAATTTTAATTACTGAGAGGAGGGGGCATGGGGGCTGGAGGATGCTTTTGTTATTAATTTACTGCACAGATATGCTAATGAAAAAGAACATTGAGCTGAATTCAACTGCCAATGAAAATGATTTGAGGCATTTTAAAGAAATATTCCACTGGCCGGCAAGCTTGTTTAGTATTTAACTGGTCTGGGTAAGACCAAACGGTAAGTGAAATACTGTTCTCTAAAGTTATTTTTAGAATATCTTAAAAGACATCTTTCAAATTCTGTATATCAAACCCTTTTACCTCATAGCTTTAGAGCAGCTAATTACTCCAAAAAGGATTTCTTTCCCCACAACAAAATAGAATTCTAGGATTCTATTGATGAGAGATACAGTGACCACTAGGATGTGGTTTTGCAGTGAGCACTAACTTTCTATATCTCTCATCTATAAACTTTTAACCCATGTCATACAATTCCTTTGAAATTTTTTACTTCTAGATGATTTACAGTTTTCAGATCCAGATCTTTCAGCATCTAAATAGTGTCTTTTAAATGATGCTAGTAAATAAGAAGGAAGTGGGTTTTGGATTTGGTTCCAATTATGCAATTGTGCCTTTTCTTCTGTTGTGGCTTAAAAAATCCCTTGGAAGTTTTAATAACCTTCCTGTATTTAATTACAACCAGGCTCCAACAAATACTGTAAAAAGGTGGTTTCTCTTGGACTCAAAATCTACAAGAAGTATTTCACATTTTAACATTTCTGCAATTTTGGAGTATATTTTTTTCCCCAGATTCCACAGACAGGATAATGTGGTTAATATTGTTTGTATTATATGATTGTTCATCAGACACTTCTCTGCTTTTGATTACTATGTTTTAGTTTGTATCTACCACAGCAAACTCTTAATCCTCTCAAAATTTTGAAGTCACCCTAGAAAAACCTAGCAAATTGGTATAAATTATTTTCTATATTCTGTCTTTATGCTTTAGTGTGGCAGGTAGTTTACTGAGATAATGGTGAAGTTAGAAACTATTAGGTTTTTTTCTGCATCACTTTTTCCCAAGACTTACCTATTTATGGTGCTTCTAGTACTTTCTATCCAGAGCTTTCATGACATGTCTTTTGCAAGTTATTGAGTATAGGTGAAACAGGTAACAGTTACACACTGCCTGTAGGGATATACATGGCATCATAGGATCCCTGAGCAGTTGTGTAAGAAGCATTGATCTTGGAAGTCAAATACTATTTGAGTGTCTTGACTGTGTTTTGTTGTTTTGTTGCCCCTCTGCTTGCTGAGAATTGCGAGTTGACTGAATACAAAAAGATCTGCTTTTTTAGAGGTCATTGCTGCTGGTGATTTTGGAGCCCAGCTAGGAGGACTGTTACACAGTTGTCTTGTTTTGGGTATGGTTTGAATAAGCAGTTCTTTTTTACAAGCTTATAAAGCATCGTCTTTGCAAAACGTTGTATTAGTCTCTGTCAAAAAATTGTGTATGCACTGTATGGAGATGTCTTTTTCATTACATAGCTCTGATATAGAAAGATAGTAAAATCTGCATTAATGTGAACATTTCTTTAAATATATACTGTGCATTAGACACTTTTCTTGGCTACTATTTTTGATATTCCATTGAGGACATCAGTATAACTAAGAACAGAACTTATCCCTCGGGCTTTTAAATAGCCAGAATTTTATTGAATAGACCAGAAGACCATACTAACATGACAGTAACTCAATTTAATATTGGCCTCTGTGGAATGTGTGTTGTGATTTCTAATGATTAGTTATGCAAAAAGCCATTGGTAGGCCATAATCCAACTGGATCTTATGTTTAAATAGTGGCTTTATTTACTCTGTAAACAGAGTACATACCCATACTGCAAGGGAATTTCTTCTTTAGCTGCTATCTGACAGTAAATTCTGTGGCTTTTTGTCTTTGCTGCTATTATTCTTGTGCTAATAAAACTAACCTGAGTGTGTTGCAGATTCATTTTCATGTGTTGAGCT